AGTTGTATAGATGGTGTAAGCAGTCTGTGTAAGCCTTACCTCTGCACGTAAACGTGGCGGATTTTAATTGGACTGAATTTCTTTTTCTTTTTAATTTGAGAAGATTTTGTCATTTTGAAAAAAAAATGAAAAATTGGCGTTTGGTTTAATAAATATTTTAGAAGAGTAGAGAACTTGAAAGGGGAAATGAGTACGCCAGACTGGAAAGGGATAATAGCATACCAAACAATCATTTTCCTAATTCCTGAACCAAAACAGCCCCATATGTTCATTTTTAGGCTTTTGATTATTCTAAAAGCAAACAGGAGTAAAGCTACTTGTGATTATTCTGTCGGTCCTTAAGCATCTGCACATTAATAAATTATGTAAAAAATGAGATTGTTCTTTGTAAAATAATTTAAAGACGCAATAGTTGGATGATATTATAATTAAATAATCCCACTAGGATGTCCCACTGGGCCCTTGTCCTATTTTGTTTGTCAGTGCTATCCCATCCGTCAGCTAGTGTCACGGCCTGCTTCATCATCCGATGACGTGGCACCTTGGTGGCTTGCACATTGCCACATAGGTGTGACATGGCCATAACTTGGCGGTGAACACTCTCGTACCATGCCTAAAAAGTCTGTTTTGAAACCTTCTCCACGTGGACCAATATAATTGGTCCACGTGAATTATTTCAACCACGTGGATGACTGTGAGGACCAAAGTGTAAATATTTTAAGGATCAAACTGTAAATAGTGCACTGTTGAGTGGCCACCGCTCGCCGCCGTCGCCTGCAGACCGCAGTTCACCGCCGCTCGCCTGGATGCCTACAGATCGCCGTTCGTCGTTAGTGGAACGGATCTAGCTTCGCCAAACGGATCTAGCTTCGCCGCTGCACCTCTGCTTCGCCGTTGTCTTCCTCCTCGCAGAACCGCCGGTCGTCTTCCTCTGGGTCGGTGAAGCTGGATCTGTTCGACTGCAAACAGAGCCCTGTGAACGACTCCTCTGGGTCGGTGAAGCTAGATCCGGTCGACTGCAAACAGAAGCTAGATCCGTTTTTCCCTCAGTCGCCTCTGTATCAGTGAGGCTCCCCGGTGATACTCAGAAGCTTGTCGCGGGTCGCAGAGGCTTCATGATGAATCGCCAAGAGTGACACAGCCCTTCGATCTTCTTTACATCAGCACGGTCAAGCCGTCCGTCCGATCGATGGCCGTCGAGCTCGCCAAAGCTATCAGAGCGGTACAGGCTGAGTCCGGAGTTACAGCCCCTTCCGCGGCTGTCGAGACCGCCGATTTTGGCGAGAGATTCACCGCCGTCTACGCCATCGTTTTCAGACGAAGAGGCCAGCCATGGAATGGTTCACGAGGGAGGAAGACGACCTCTCTGCGAGGAGGAAGACGAACTGCGTGCGGCGGCGAGGAGGAAGATGGACTAAAGTGCAGTATTTGCACTTTGGTCCCTCGAATAATTTTCACTTGCATTTTGGTCCTTAAAGTAATCCACGTGGCCAATAATAATTGGTCCACGTGGAGAAGGTTTAAAACAACCCTTTGAAGGGTTGTACCGTAGTCTCTGCCTAACTTGGCAGTTTTGGAAGGTCTCTGCTCGGATCTCCAAACTCAACCAAACGCAATTTATTTAAAGTTGAAGTGAAGTGAGAGGGAGGCAACGCACTTTGGCTAAAGCACGGGTGTTGGTTTATCGGTTTGCTACAGTTTGAAACTTACCTTAAATTAAATCATATCTCTTATTTATAATTTTTAAAATTAAATTAAATCATAAATTTTTAAAATTAAATTAAATCAAATCATTATTTAAAATTATAATTTATAAATTAAATTTATTAAATTTTTAACTAAATTTTTACTTCCTGGTATAATTATAAATTTGTAGTAAATTAAATTTAATGATTAAAAAATAATCATAAGAAAATTTAATAAATTAATAAATTAAATATTAATCTGGTATATAATAACTCAAATTATAAGACTATTTAAAAGAATCAGAAGTTTGTGAGACTATAAAAAAATTTAAAAAAAAGGGAGTGGAAATTGCAAAAAAAAAAAAATTAGAGAGATCAGAACTAAAATAATAAACATTGAAGGACTAAATTATAAATTTAAATATAATTTATAGTTCAATTTAATTTATTTGATTTATTTTAATAGTCAAATTATAAAATGAAGTATAAAAAAAATTAAACTAAATCAAATTAAAATAAATTAAATTATAACTTATATAAAACCAAACTAAATTACAAGTTAATTTAATTTACACGATTCAAAGATTTAATAAACACCCTTGGACGAAGCACACTTCGTCCGAATTGAAGTGTAGCCGAGGATCCACACTGTCCGGAATTGAAGTATAGCCGAGGATCCACAATGGACTTACGGATGAATGGCGCATGTGTTCTCTCGGAAGCTGAAGTATGTTGCATCTGTATACTGTAACTATACATGTAGTTAAGCTTGAGCAGGCGGGAAAAGCTAGCCGGCTTAATTTGTCTTGCCGTCTTTAAATATGAGATTTTGCATGCATTTTAATCATCCGGCAATTATCAATTGAATATTAATACATCGGAAACACTCTCTCCGCGAGCCTCTTGTGTGTTTTTTTGAGTGTCATTGTGAGAACAGGAGAAGTTGATTTAAGTCAGTTCATAATATCAAAAATATACTTAAATAGTACTGAATAGAATATTAAATATATACTTAGATACAACCAAAATTAAAAATTTTAAAAATAGAGCAAGTTTTGTACATAATACAATAATTTTAGTCTGCAAAATTTCGTTTGGTACTTTGTAAAATAGGCTTGTAAAATTTTTCAAAAATATATTATATAGAATTTATTATAAAGATAATTCAAATGCAATTTTGAAATGATGAAAATATTTTAGTATACTTTATTCTTATAACATATTAAAAATATATATAAATATATAATTATAGAAAATTTAATCTTATTAATAATATATTTTAAACAAGAAATCATTTAGAAACTATTTGGAGTAAAATTGAGTAAGAGTTAACAGTTAACTTAATTTCTCATTATTTGTTATAAAAACTTTTTTTAATTTCAAAACCATATATAAGACTTGAAGGAGAATGTATAGGGTATTTTGTCATCTTCACCTTTAAATTTTGAGTCAATACTCCACCATATTTGCAAAAGTTTCTAATTGATTCTTAATTTAATACAATTAAATGCTCACATACATACATCATATAAACATAATTATTTGTTGTTATCAAAAATTATAACTAACATACTAAAATTGACGCCCATTAAATTGACATGTATGTGTACATGTATGATTCAATATTATGACATATATATATATATATATTAGTGAGATAAGGAGACAAATTTAAATTGTGAAAATTATAGAAAAAATTTAAAATAGAGAGCATAGAGAGGAAGACTCATAGAAATAGAATTTTAAATAAAGTTTAAATAGTGAAAATTTTAGAAGGAGATTTGAAAAAAAGTTAGAGAAAAAACTTTTAAGGGAGGAAACCGAAAAAATATTTTAGATAAAATTAAAAAGATTAGAGAGATAAAATTCCAGAATGACTTTAAAAATTAGAGAAAAAATAAAAAATTGCAAAAAGTAAAAAAAAAAATCCGAAACAGAGAGAGTTACAAAAATTTAGAGAGAGAGAGAGTTGAAAAAAAATCTGGAAAGTGAAAATTGAAAAAATTAAAGAAAAAATAAATAGAAAAGGTAAGAGATGGTTTGGTTTGTATTAAAAAGTAATTCGATAATTATTTAATGGATATAATATGGAATAGAGGTATTCATGGTTTTAAAAAACTAAATTAAACTGTATTGAATCAAATCACACTGTACCGAAGTTAAGGTTTTTTTTGAAAATATATAGATTTTAGTATTAGGTAATACTGTACCGAAATTTTGGTATGGTTTAGATTTTATAAATAAAAAATTGAAAAAAAGTATCAAATCGAATATTATATATAATAATTTATTAAATTATTTTATTATATATAAAATATTCAAATTTCTAGAAATTAAGAACAATTTAATAGTAATTTGAAAAAATTAAAAAGAAGGAGACTTATATGAAGAGAATGTGTAAATATGAGGGGTTAAAGTATAAAAAGAGAATGTATATGCAAAATTTTGTTTAAAACACTAACCCTTTCCTCTCTCACTTACAACTCTCATGATCTCCTTTTCTCTCCTTGCGTTTCCTCATCTCGTTTGCCTCGCCTCTCTCCTCCACTATCTCGCCTTAATTTTTATTAATCGTGACTATTATTCATGATTAATACAGATCAAAATGTGACAAAATAAAATAAAAAGATGACTCAATCTCTTTTTTTCTCTCTTTTTTTACTTGCTTTTAAGTCTATTAGTTTTGAAATAATAGATATGATATTATTGTATTTAGTTGATTTATATTATATATCTTTTTATTTATTTTATAAGTCTCTCTATTTTTATCCATCTATTTATTTACGAATTTTAAGTCATTTATTTAAATTTGTTTACTTATTTGTTAAAAAGTATTTATACTAATTATTTTATTTTATTTTATTTTATTAGTTAAATTTAAAAATAATAAAATATTAAAAATCGAACCAAACTGTACCGTACTATATAGAAACTGAATGGATTGGTGTAAGTATTAAAAAGTATGATTTTGGTTTTAATTTCAAAAAGTTAAATAAATTGATACGGTATAAATTTTGTAAAAAAATTGTAAAAATCCGAACAGTGGACACCCTTGATACTGAACGGATTATTAATTATAATTAGTCTAATTAAATCCATTTATTAATTAGACAAGTTTAGATTTAATTGTACAACAAATTTAAGCACCAAAGGTCGCACAGTTTCCACCTCTATCGTGCATCTTCCTCTGACAAATTCGTGTTTCAGTGAAGCACCGACTGGAATGCATGTCAAATTTTCACGTTTGGTTTAATTTCGTTTCATATTATCAAATAGTTAAACTTAATTAATTTACATTAATCTGAAAGAAAAAGCATGTATGGCCTAGCCGGCTGTCGCGGGCGTGCGTGCCAGGTGGTTTCTTCCACTCGCTGCCGACTTTAAAGTACTCTTTTGTTACAGTCAGAGCAACCGGCACTCTCTCATGGTGGAATCCGGAAAGACTGCGACTCCTCGTCCTTCATTCTCTCTATTGTGAGTGTTGAAACGTTAATGGCGAAGCAAGAACAAACAGAGGTATGGGTAAAGCACTACTGTTCGTCACATAACATACTGTTAGTGGGTGAAGGGGACTTCTCTTTCTGCTTGAGTTTGGCGCAGTCTTTTGGCTCTGCTTCTAACATTGTTGCCTCTTCTCTCGATTCATATGGTAGCCTTCTCTCACTGTCTCTCTGTTTTCGATTTCTGACAGAGAATTTCATGAATATTTATCTGTATCATGCTCTTTTGTGTTTATTATGTCGGATTTTTATTTAGGGTTTAATATTGAATGTGTGTGCTTGTTTGTCTGTGTTTTAGTGTGGAGTTAGTTTATCAGGTACTTAACCCATAATCACCCGGTTTACAAGTTTTAGTTGCCTGGTTTTGGTCGTTGAGTTATCCCTCTTAGACTTCATCCTTTTTTACCCGTTTGCTTGTTCTTTCTGATGGAAAAGTCAGTGCTGTTTATTTCATTCCTGTGGGTACCTGTTGTTCTAAATTTTCAGAGAATTGGAAAACACATATTCCATGACTTGTGTTATTTTGTAGATTAAAGCTTTTAAGTTTTAACACCCAGTGTTTATCTCGTATACTGTACGTATGTTTATGTGAAAATAATAGAAAAACGTAATGATGTGTTTATGTTAATCCATAAATGCTCTTTAATCTTTGTGTAGAAGGCCGTGAGTTGATTTTGTCAGGCTACATTAACCCGTTTTCCTAGTTTGGATTGCTCTTTATCCTTTGTTACCCGTCATTCTTTGTTCATTCTGTGGTATCTGTTGTTTTGATTTCCAGAAAATCTTGCTTAATTGCATTATCATAGTTGATTAAAGGCCTTAATAAGCATCCCATGTCTCAATTTTTTCTTTTTTTTTCTTCATATTTTTGTAGCTAATTTGTAGGAGGTTTTAAATTTCTCCACCATGACTTTCTGGTACAACGGATGGCTTTTATTCTGATAGTTATGACCTTAAGAGCAAAATTCAAACAAATTCTTATTGCAGAAGAAATTTTTCATTGCTAAATTTGGTTAAATTACACTGCCCTTTCTTGAACTATATAAAAATTACTGGGCCATCTTGAAATTGTATGATGCTATCACTTGAGAGTGTAGGAGTAACAAAAAGATCATATAGTAAAGACATCATAGTGCAAGGGAGGTTACGGGAGCATATTTTATGCAAAAATCTTTTATTTTCCTGTATCTGGTTTAAGCTTGTCTGAAGTTGATACACTTATTTCATTCCATTAAATATATTTTTCACGATATTCTTGCTTTTAGCCTTTTTATTTCTTTTTCTCAGTAGCATTGTGATCTTCTATAAAATTTGATTTTTTTTGAACCTTTTCTGTTAGATGTGCTCATCAAGAAGTACAAGCAAGCAAAGTCCAATTGGGAAAAACTGGAATTTCTGGGCGCCTCGCTTTTACATGGAGTGGATGCAACCAAAATGAGGCTTCATAATGATCTCCGAATGCAGAAGTTTGACAGAATTATCTTCAACTTTCCTCATGCAGGCTTTCATGGTAAAGAAGACATGAAACATGTCATAAAGTGAGTGGTTCTCTTGTGATTTTGTTATATTCAATCATTCCTCTCTAATGGCTATGTTATCAATTCCAAGTTTGCAATAAGCTGGTAATCGTCTTTCTGTGTTTTGTATGTTCTTTTTTAGTTTTTCATATAATGTAATGCAATGCATTTTGCTCTAATAGACATACCTAGTATAAGAGGATCAGCCTCCTCACATTGACATGTCCTGGCCACTAATATGATAGATACATCCCTAACCAAGTGTGAGCAGTACAACAAATTGAACCTGGTTCAACCATTTAATTTTTCAGCAATGGTGTTTACTCATAACTTTCTGAATTTTCATATTTCCAGTTTGTCTAGATAAATTGCCGAATATAAAGTATTGGGATATCAGAGGCAAATTTCAGTTGCCAATACAAGGGTAATTATTTGCTTCTTGGAAGATACTTGAATAATACAAAAAATTGAAGCCTATTGTTCCTTCGAGAATGTGTTTTAGTGCATGCAATGATAAAATGAATACTGAAATGGGAAGCTGCACGGGAGCTTTTGTATACATGAAAGTTGATTTTACCTGCACATTAAATTTTTTAATGAATTTATTTTATTTAACTTTATAGTAGTACTCTTTTATTACCCTTTGTAACCTTTGTATTTGATATGCAGGATGCATAGCAACCTTGTAAATGGATTCTTTAACAATGCCAGTTGCATGCTACGAGTTAATGGAGAAGTTCATGTCAACCACAAAACTAAACCTCCATTTTCCCACTGGAATATTGAGGAAATTGCACAACAAAATTCTTTGGTGTTAATTGAGTGTGTTGATTTCCATATAGAGGACTACCCAGGTTACAACAATAAGAGAGGAGATGGTATTAGGTGTGATGAGCCTTTTCCATTGGGAAAATGCAGTACTTTTAATTCAAATTCTTGCCTACTGCTAAGAAAAGATTAAACATGTTGAAAAATGTTCACATAGCTGACGGGGATTCTCAATGGCTTCAAGCAAATTGTTATGCATATGGAGTACCTCAACCCATAGTTCATGTTAGGGATGAATGCTATAGAATCTTCAGTGAGTACTTTAATCATGCCACGGAAACATTTGGAAGAATAGATTACAATGTTTCTTACTCTGTTCACGAGGCATTGAAGCTTGGTTTTGACAAATACATGGCTGAAGGAAGGAATTCAAATGGGTACCTGTGGATTTTGGAAGAGCTTCACCATTTGACCATTTTGAGATTGGCTTGGTTAAGAAACATGCTGGGTGGTGATCGCTTATATTGAGCTAGGAGGTGAAACTTGCTTTTGAGAAATACTGGGAAACAGCCTTTTTGTTGACAGACTTTCTGTTAAGCTCATCAACTGTCATATGTGAACACAATACTTTATGGTAATGGTTTTATCTAGTTTGTGTTTTATACTGACAAGTTTGTTAAGATTATACTACCGGGTGAGGGATATTGTACTGGAAAATGAATGCAAATGAAGTTGCTTTCTGGATCATTATTTTTTGCCAAGCATCTTTAGTTGGATTGTTCGAAAGTCGGCCGATCCGGATCTTGTGAAATTATTTTCCCCTTAATGACCCCAATTGGGGGTTCGAAGTGGAACTCGTTGACTTAATTGCAAAAATTTGATCTGTCAGTGTAAGATAAAATTGTTTGTACCTCAGATGCTAAACCTTCTTTTACCTCATTACACCTGAATTGTTTTGTAACCGGAAAGCACAAGGCTTTTGTTTGTAAGGGCCTAGGAATTTGAAATGAGTTCTTGTAAAAGCTATGTTTTGGAGCTTTTAGTTATCTAAAAAAGCTCCAAATCAAACATTGAACAACGCCAAACACAATATATTTAAGGCCTAATTGATGACAGGATGAACTTGGAGTTGCCCGTTGATTAAAGGGTTTGGATGGAGATGCTTCCCTGAGTACCATCCCTTGGTGTTACCTTTACTAAATAATTAAATTAAAAGGAAAAGGGCTAAAAGTCAGTCCACTTAATGTATTACCTTAATTAATTTCAATTAAAAATATATTATATCTTAATAATTACTAAATTACAAACAAGAGATGCTTTAAATTATTTAAGTGGCATATGGAGTTATACGTATCTACAATATATAAAAAATTTTAAAAAGTTATCAACGTAATTTTTCTTCAAATCCTCCTTTCAATATTTAATTATCATGTAAATAAATATCTTCCTGAACCTACTTAAAAAGGCCTACAATATGTGGGATAAATTTTACAATTTTATTTTTGACAATACTTCAACGTGGTAATCACGGGAAAAATTACTTTTTTCCCTCATATGTCATCCTAATTGTAAAATTATTCTTATAATTTTAAATTTTAGAAATTTTATCCTTTTAGCAAATTTTGACAACACATTCTAGCCAATAAAATGGTATATTATTCTTTAAATATACAATAACTAAGTAAAAAATAGCCCCATAATTTTTTTTTTTTTTTAACCAAGTACTGACAAGATTAATATCTTCTATTCCTGTCCCTTTTAATTGTAAATTAATTTGTCTGTAGATATAACTATATATTAATGTTTGTTTTTACGTAGATGATATTTTAATATGTGTTATATTTGTAACTAAATTAAAATTTTAAAGTTTTATTAAAACTGAGAATAATTAATTTATAAAATCAATAAATTATATAAAATCATTTCATACTAACTTTAATAAAAAAAAGTTATGTATTTTTAAAATTATTAATAAAGATTTTTCACTTAATTTTAAAATTTTCAGAATTATTTAATTTTCAAATTACAAAAAATAAATATATATGTAAAATATTAGACCCATATTTAGTATTAATCTCGTTGAAAAGGATCTTTGAACGAAGGGAAAGAAGACCATGAGACCTTTCGATCATGATGATTAAATCAGTAACCCACAAACATGGGGGACTCTTCCCTAGATGCCCATTTGGAAGTCCAATCATCGTAACGAATTGTTTGGAATTTTACATGGCACCAGGTCTGCCATCTGGTTCACAATTTCCGTTTTTCCCATTAATATAAATCAACATTTGACTAATTTATCAAAATAAGAGATTTTTGTATTTTGTATTATAAAATTTTAAATACGACATTTTACACCCAAAAATAAGAGTTTTTAACACTTTATATCTCAAAATATTAAATTTTTTTTCAATTTATGAGTCTCACTTCACTGTGAAAGATAATATTAATAGTATTAAATAAATCATTGATACTGATGCGGCTTAAAGTAGTTGAAAATTTTATCATTTTTATTAGAAAATACATTGTCACTCTTATTCTTCTTATTCTAAAAAGTTTTTGGTTTATTTATTTTATCATATATTTTTTAAAAATGTATTTTAAAATAAATTAATGTTGTTAAAAATAACCTAATTAACTAAGAAAATTAAACTAAATTAATAGAACTAATGTCGCGTACGAGTTAAGAGAAGGCAAAACCGTGTGCCTGTCTTTAGAAGTTGTATTTTGAGAAAGAACACGGAAAGGAGCTCTTAATAATTTCAACTTAATTATTCCTAAATGATAATGTGTCTACCATTTGACCTGAAATATGAAAGAGAACAAAATGAGATACAATGAACATACCTAATCACGAATCTCAGTTTGGATTTGCCCCCCTGTTTGGCTCCTCAGAATAGACTGACTTAAGAATTGCTTATGGGTGCTGAACCGTTTTGGTGATTGAATCGATTCAACCCGACTGATTCATTAGTGCACAGCACCAATCCCGGTCCAACCGCTTCAATTAGTTTTATTATTAACATATAAAAAAATAAAAATTATTTTAGTGTTTTAAATTTCTTTCTCTATTTTATTTATTTGTTAAATTTATAGCATACCATTTACCTTCTTAAATACTAATACTATTATTTACCACCTGAACTTTCTAATTTTAAATAATGAATATTTTAAATATTATTATTAAAATAGTTTATTTTAAAATTTTAAATTAATATGTGATAATTGATAATAAATATTATTCAATATATTAAATTAAAAAACGATTAAATTTTGCAAATTAATTTAGATTATTTACATAACTCAACTAAATAAAAATTTTCCAACTCCAAATAAACAATTTGAATTAAATACAAATTATTCAATGATGTAATTGAAACTTAATTGTAACGACCCGAGATTACTGAGTCTAGCAATTTGTTGAGCCTGAACTACTGGCCAAAAATGCTTAAGCCCAAGTTGTTCAGAAATAGTCTCTAATCTTTTATAAGCTCAAGATCTCTCCCGTGCTTTGTCGATGTGGGATTCGCTTAAGGGTGTCACACACACTCACCCCCTTTTGAGGTGTCACATACACCCCCCTCTTTGGGACTCAGCAAGCACTCTCCCTCTGAGGTGTCACACTAATTAAGTTCAAATTATTTATTCACAATTGATAACTTTTTATTTAGTTAACCTGTATAAATAATTTAAATTAATTTATAAAATTTAGTTATGTTTTAATTTAATATTTAAAATTAAATACATTTAATAATATTTATTATCATTTATAATTTATTAACTTAAATTTTTAAAATTTTGATAATTAACTACTCTAATAGTAATATCTAAAATATTTACCATTTAAGATTGAAGAGTTTAAGAGAGAAATATAACGGAAAATTGACAATATTTAAGGAGCAAATAATATATTATAAAATTTAGATGATAAATAAGATAGATAAAAAAGTTTAAGGAGGTAAAATAATTTTTACTTTATATAAAACATTAACTATCAAACAAGTGTGTGATTTTCAGAAATATAATTTTTGTAATATATAGCAAAGCTGATGGGTACCCATTTCACGGAAATCATTTCTATACTCAATAGATTCTAAAATGAGTGACAATTTTATCCATGCCCAATTGATACCTATTTTATGGAGATTTTTTTGGGATATCAATTATCCATTAATTTCATCAAATTTCTAGGATATCTTTCAAGTGTGCGATTAAACTCTGATAGTATCATTGTTTAAAGCCAAATTTTGTAATGTACTAGGACATCCCATTAGTAAGCCAGTTTAGACTGATTTATTAGATTATGATATTATTAATCAATTCGAGCGTATATACAAAAATCTTTCTCATTATTAAAGTGAATTCTCAAATTAAGGATGGAGATTATAATATTTAACCTATCACTGTGTAATACATTATATATATTTATATATTAAAAAATTAAAAACTACTATATTAAAAATTATTTAAAAAAGCATATTTACATTATTATAAAATATATTAAAATAAACTTTTGAAAAAGGAATTATGTTCAAATGGTATACGGGTACAAGAATGGGTATAATACTATCTAACGGATAAGGAGATAGAGATTAAAATTAATTTTTGACCAAGTACGACAAAGAATATGAAAATGGATTTTGCGGCTGAGCATGAAAATAAATATATTCCTATTACCGGTTGAACCATTAGATCAACCTCAGTTAAAGCAATAACAATTGCCCATTTCAAACAGTTCATGATAGTTCGCTCTGATTTTTAATGGGACTCTGATCCGTATAAATAATTGAATTGGACCAAGCTCCAGTTCCTGGTTCAAGCCCGTTGAACCGATCTATCTGTCCAGTTCATCAATTTCATCAATGGTAATAAATATGATGTTATCTACTTCTTGTAGTCCTCTAAAAATCCATGCAAGTGAGATAGACAAATTAGTTGGTTTCAGTGTGCGTCCAATTTAGACCACTAGAGCCCTAGGCCGGTTCATGGTTATATTTAATCAACCCGGCCAATTGTCTAATATATTATTCCCCTTGCTTGTTGAACTGGAAGTACACTCTTTTCTAACTCTTTTACGGTAGGTTTCATGGAACATGCAGAAACCGGTTATATGATTGACGGATTCTTCTGGGACCTTGTTCTATGCATGGTTTTCCACAACCAATTTTCTAACAACCCACTGTTTTCAGAAGCAAAATCCATATATAAAATGCTTTGGTCTGTTTTCAATTTCATCTTCCCCCCTTATAAAAGAAGTTTTTCAGGTTCAAGAACTTTCCTTTATCAAAAATGGAGGTAAGCTTTTCTCCCTGTATTGTTTTCTATTGCCAGCCATTAATGCCTATAGCTTGAAGCTTCTGGTGTTCGACTTTGCAGCAAAAGATTGTTATCAAGATGCATTTGAATGGCAAGTGCAAATCAAAGGCCATGCAGGTTGCTTCTCTGGCACATGGTAGGCATATACCTAATATCTATACATTAGATTTCAAGCTTTCTTATAATCTCAGTTTTGTGGATTTAAATTTATG